GGGATTGTTCCACTGAAAGGATCTGGTTGACGGGGGTTTGGATTTAGGCTTGGTGTATAGTATCTGTATTGATTTTTATTGTGCTTGGTGAATTAGTATAAGCAAATTTGTTATATCTTTAGGTTATATATACCATATAGAAATCTAATGAATAGTTTAATTTAATTTTCTTGTTATTGTATAAAACTGAGATACTTTTATTAACTGTTTTATATTTGTTGCCATCTAGTTATAAAAGATCATATTTTGTTATTTTTTGCTTTATATTTGAAGTTATATTGATAAAAAAAAAAAAAAAACAAATTTGCTTATACTAATATCAATTTTTTAGATAATACAATTGTAGCAATTTGTTTAAGAGATATATAATTTTTCAATAATTTAGAATTTATATGTCAGGTGATGATTTTGATAAAAGTAATTTTTATATGATTAAATAAAAATGAAAAATGAAAATAATAAGTATTTTTAAAAATAATAATAGTTATTTAAAAAATTTAATATTTTTAAAATAGGAAATGCTCTTTTTTACTGACTAGAATATGAGTTATATAATATAAACATTTTATTAACAGAAGAAATAACATGTAATTTATCTTAATATTTGGTCAAAAAAATTATAACTGCAATAAAAAAATGAAATAAAGATAATAAAAAAGAAATCCATTAAATTACTAATATAATTAGTTATAGCAAGATTTACTATATTACATATATTTGAAGATTTGATAAAAAAATCAAGAAAAAAAATAATAATTAAATGTTATTAGATCAAACAAATTATATTAATAAATATTTTAATTTAAAAGAAAATAATTAATTGAAAATATAATAGTTTAAACCAATACATATAAATATAAATTTAAAATCCAATTTTTAACTACAGTAATTGAAATTTTAAAATAATTAATAAAACTTATATTTATATAAATTGAATTGGTTTTATAAAAAATCAAAACTGATGGTTTTTAGATTGGATTGATTTAAAAAAAATAAATTGGTTTGGTTTGATTTTAGTTAAAATCAATTTGAACCAAACCATTGTAATCACTAGTTTTAATTTATAAAAAATATTTTTTAAAAAAAAAAAAATAATAATTTAAGTACAGGCATATAAAAAATTTTAATATTTACTTGAAATCAACTTGTTTTTGTTTTAGAGAAAAAAAGCATAATATCTGAACTTAAAAATGTGTACTACAAAAAGCTTCACTGTATTTGCTATTTATTAAAACATTTTCTAACCACATTTTTTTGCCTCTAAATAATTTTTAATTAATTTTCTCCAAGAATATTATCTATCAATTATTGATGGTACTCAATATTATTATTCAAGGCAACAATTGAACATTGATCAGATATAGTTTTTTTATGGGCAAAAAATCACATATAATTAACATATAAAATAGATCTTGTACAATACTTTATTTAAAAACCCAATTTACGAAAATCGGTACCACCACATTTAAGAACCAGAATTAAGAGATTCTATGAAATTATCTAAATTGAGGTCTTCGTATTGAGAGTCATCCCAAAGATTTTCCAGTCCGTCGATAATATTTTTTGGCGAGACTTTCTTTCCTTTTGATCCAAAACCACTTCCACCAGCATTTAAATTTTTTGCACCTTTTTGAGCACTCTTGTCAGAGGTCACGTTGAATAAGTCGAGAATCTGCTCAGTATCCATACTCTGCAATCCGGAATTTTGTTGATTCACGATAGAATTGGCTATATTGAGTTTGAATTTTTGTAAACTAGAAATAATTTGATAAGTTTAGAAAAGGATTAAAATAATTCATAACTTCATAAATTAGTAGATCTTTTATACCCCATTATCTTTTCTTCGAGTGTGCCCCTTGTGATCAAACGATATACATTGACAACTTTCTTTTGACCAATTCTATGTGCTCGATCCATAGCTTGAAGATCTTTCATAGGATTCCAATCATGTTCAACAAAAATAACAGTGTCAGCAGCAGTTAAGTTAACGCCTAGACCGCCAACATGGGTTGTTAATAGTAGGACGTCAATTGAAGGATCGTTATTAAATTTTTGTACTATCCCATGGCGTTTGTTTGCATCTACTGAGCCATCAAGACGCATATAGGTAACAGATGGCATGAATGGAGCAAACAAATCTTTCTCAATGATATCTAACATGTTTTTAAGTTGACAGAATATTAGGGCCCGATGCTGACTTACAGCACCAACTCCTAGCGTATCATCCTCAGATTCTGTTGTTACTCCAATACCGCAATCCAGAAGCAATTGTCTGTTGAAATAAAAAGTTATATTGGTAAATTACATATAGTTTAGATGAATAAGTAAAATTGTTGTAAAAAATATATTTAAAAATACTTTAAAGCAAGGAGCTTAGGGGCATACTCCAAATCATGCAGAGATGACTTGCTAGCCTTAAGCTTGTCCATTACCGCGCGATACTGCGGGTGCTTTTCATTAACCACAAGTAAAGGATGGTTACATAATTTACGCAAATATTGTAATGCCTGGAAAATGTGTGTTGTTTTCTTTTCGCCATCTTCCTCCATACGTTCAGAATCAAGTTCAGAATCAACATTACTCTTCGCTTGCGATTTAGCAAATTGTTCATAAAGTTGTTTCTATAAAAGCGTTAAATTTTAAATATGCAACATAATCAATAATAAATGCATCGTAATTATCATTAACCTGTAGATCACTGAGTTCACAATAATAATCTTGGATAATTTTCGGAGGCAAATCGTTCAAAACATCCTCTTTCAATCTACGAAGCAAAAATGGTAATACTTGTTTATGAAGAGCCTCTAAAGCAAGGGCACCTAGTAAGATAAATTAAACATAACGGGAATAAGTATTGATCAAATAATAATCATTTATTAGAAACAAATCGTTTTATATTCTTCTTACCAGCCTCTTGTTCCCTAGACGAGCTCTTACTGTCTCTACTAGCCAAAATAGGCTTTCCGAATCTTTCATTGAATTGTTTTTCAGTGCCCAAAAACCCAGGCATCAAAAAATCAAAGAGGGACCACAACTCCAGTACATTGTTCTTTTTTATAAATAAAGTTAGAACGCAGATCTGATATAACTTTAGTAACTATTTAACTAACCTGAATAGGTGTCCCTGAAAGTATTAACCTGTGATTCGCTTTCACAGTTTTGACAGCTTTTGTTATTTTTGTTTTGCCCTTGAAATTGAATCCAATATGAATAAATGAATAAAGTTAGTCTTTAATATGTATATAGTATCAAATATAGGTTCAAGTCCCAAAGTCAGGCCAAAGCCTAACCATTAAATGTTTGAGCAAGATATTCGTAGCGCCGTCACGTTTCTATCCATCTCCACCTCGCACGAATCACATTTGAACGTTTTTGATCCACGGAAATTTTTTTTTATGAATCTACAATTCCCACATGTGCACTCAAAGATCTTGCAGTACTAGTACTCTCTTATCTTGTGTAAAAGAAACATTCGAAATATGATATGTGACCAATTCAGCATCGCACGAGTAGTTTTTAACCGAATCTTTCACTTGTTCTTCAGAAGACGTAATTCTGAAATAAGCAACGGGCCAACCGATGATAGCACTCATCGATCAAATTATGGATTCGCTGTATAATTCGTAGCATCCTTTTTCTCTATCTAAATCACTTTTTTTTTGTTTATTCCTCCCAAAGCAAGATCTTTGTCGCTTTGTATTTGTCATATTTCTTTGATAATTTGAATACTTTGATAAAATCCCCGTTCTCCCACACGATTATTTGACCATCGGGATTGTAATCCGTCATAAACGCGCAAACATGGATCGAACGAGATTATCATTACTGAAGCATTATCTTGATTATCGATGATACCAAAGGGAACGGAAAACATAAGTATAGTTATGTTAACCGTATTATTGATATCTGGTGATCGTTCTGAAGTGACAATATTCTTTAGGAACACGTATTTCCCTCTGTTCCTATTCCAATCCCTAGCAAGGATCGAGATGGTTTGTTCGATTTTCTTCGTTCAATGCTTGATTCGAAAATTATTTCCATGCAACTTCTTGTTTGTTTTGAATGCGCCCATCAATTGTCGAATCACTTACTAATGTACTCCCTAAGGGTCTCTTTTAACCAGAAGAGCTCTTCAGTTATGAAGCACTCGTCATTCAGTTAATGTCTTCGTATGACGCTCATTGTCGGTAATTCCATAATCTTAAGAATCTTGTACGCCCATCTCGCCGTTCCCATCCACTTTCTTGGCTTTTCTTTTTCTTCTGGGGTTGGATAAATCCGTATATTTTGAGTTTTCATTATCTTTTCGTCGTTTTCGGTTCTCGGTTGATATGAGCCCTTTGCGTCTTGCCGCGAAAATAGCAACGATCGACAACAGTTCCTCGGCAAGTTCACCGAATTCGGTGTCAACAATGTTGACGTCTGAACCGAATACCACAATTTTTTTACCGTTCTTGCCAAGAATCCTTTTGACAAGCTCGTACGCAAGTCTGCGGAGCCGCTCTTCCTGGTAACCACAACTTCCTTGATATCTCTTCGGTATGATCGTTCCAAAGTAAATGTAAAGCCCTTGCGTTTCCAGTCGATGTCCCTGATGAGTTCGTGGTTTGGGCATTTCTGTCTGAGGTATTTGCATTAACTCTTGATGACCCTTGCGTAATAGATCTTTTCTTTCTATTTATTCTTTCTTCCTTGGTTGTTCCACCTTCTTAATGTTTCTGATGAAATTTCATATATTTTCTAATCTCTTATGCTCCACAATACTTTGTTGACATTATCTTGCTCAAAAATACGAAAACGGGACTTATTTATACTTTACAGAGAATATTGAATCATCGACAATGGTGTAATAGTGATAATTCAATATTCTTTGTCATCAATAATTAAATAATATAAAATACTTACTATTTTTAAAATAATAATCAGTAAGATAAATAACAAAGCAATATATTTAATTGATAATATTGTATTGTTTACGAACCATTTTTGATCACATGACCTTCATCAAGAATGCAGTAATTCCAATGAATGTTGGCTAAATCCTCTATATCGTTACGCACTATGTCATATGACATAATAACCACGTCATAACTAGATAACTTCGGTCGTAACCTTTAAACAATATTTTTTTTCAGTTAGAAACGAATTCAAATTGTGAAAGATAGAATTATTTATCTTGTAGAAACCACCTGTCCCGGTCTTTCGGATTACCAGAATATAAAAGGGGCTTCAATGTGTCAGTATAATTCAGAATTTCATGATACCAATGTCCTGTTAGTGTAGGAGGACACACTACGAGAGATGGACAATGTACACTATCAGGTGATTTTGTCGCATTGTATTTGACAGCGCGTAAATG